ATTTCATTCCTATAAGAGCTGATTATAAGGTTCCCAAGCTGTGTCGATTGTACATCGAGAGGGTAGTCACGTTACACGGTGTCCCTATGTCTATTGTCTCTGATCGTGACGCTCGATTCACCTCTAAGTTTTGAAAAGGATTACAGAATGCTTTGGGAACTGAGCTGAGATTTAGCACCGCTTTTCATCCCCAGACTGATGGCCAATCAGAGCGGGTCATACAGATTCTTGAAGATATGCTTCGCGCTTGTATTTTGGACTTTGGAGGCAGATGGGGTGAGTACCTACCAAATGTTGAATTTGCCTACAATAACAGCTATCAAGCTAGCATTGGAAGGGCTCCATTTGGGGCTCTGTATGGTAGACCCTGCAGATCTCCTTTATGTTGGGCTGAGAAAGAAGAACACATTAATCTCGGGCCTCAGTTTGTACGGGAAACAACAGATAGAGTTCAACTTATTCATGATCGCCTCAAAGCTGCTCAGAGTTGACAAAAAAGTTATGCAGATAACCAGAGACGACCGTTGGAGTTCGAGATTGGAGATTTTGTGTTCTTAAAAGTGACCCCAAAACGCGGTGTTTCTCGTTTTGGTGTTCGAGGCAAGCTTGCACCGAGATACACAGGGCCATTTCAGATACTAGAACGAATTGGACCAGTCGCATACCGCCTAGACCTGCCATCCCAATTGTCTCATGTCCATAACGTCTTCCATGTGTCGATGCTACGGAAGTACGAACCAGATCCGTCTCAGATAATAACATGGACAAATGTCTCGATCCAGGTAGACACGACTTACGATGAGTTTCCTGTTCGGATTTTAGAACGTGAGATTAAGACTCTGCGCCGTCGTGAGATACCCTTGGTAAAAGTTCTATGGCAATATCATGGAGATGAGGAAGCTACTTGGGAGCTTGAGTCAGAAATGCAGAAAAAGTACCCTTATCTATTCTGAATACAGTTGTAATTGTAATTTCGAGGACGAAATTTCCCAAGGGGGATGAAGTTGTAAAACCCAAAATTTATTTGGGGTTAATTTGAAATTTTTAAAGACTTAAGTGTGAAAATTTTAGAAATCTGGGCCAGAATTCGAATTTAAGAGAAATATGGGGGTCAAAATAAAAATTTTGACAGTCAGCATGCCCAACCTGTCATTTAGTGCCACTTGGGCGTGTTCCTTATCCTCACAAATCAGAAAACCCTAACTTTCCCTCTCTCTCTTCATTCTCTCTCTCTCTCTCTCCACGTACGGCCGACCAACCTCCGGC